TAGTTTTCTTGACAGAAATCTGATTTAATATTTTGGGACACATTTCTTAATGGAAAATGTACGCCTTTTCTGTGTATTATTTGGGCCTACAGGCAATTTTTTACTATTTTTGATTGATATTTGACCAGTTAATTAACCAAACTTTATTGACTGGTCAAATACCCTACCCTAATTTGTCTTAACTGCAGCTGCACTCCAAAGTAGCTTCTGTCGTATTTCTTGATCTCTCATTACAAACATCTTTGTCTTTCCTGACCTATGTAATAAGAGACTTTATAGGGGCAATATAGCTCCTGAAGTGCATGGCTACATTTTGGGATCTTCTATCAGCTAAGGAAATGAGAAATAGGTACATGTTTCCTGACCTGGCCTCTACTTTATGTGCTTCAGTTTAAAAAACAGTGGTGTGTTGGTTCTGGCAGCACCTCTTTGGGTATTTCCAAGAGCAATGTGGAAGATTTGTTGTCTTGGTCTCAGGGCCAATACCAGAATGTCCTTCCAGCTCACAGCTACTCCATACAAGTCCTGGTATCTGATCTTTGTCCACAGCAAAGACAACAAGATCTTGTGTACCTACTAAGGATGTACCTACAATGGTGGCAGTAGTGCACTTTTTGGGCAAAATGCAGAACATCTTCATGTTTTTTTAAAATCAAAGACAAGCCATAAAATTAGATGATACACAACATGTGTATGCTATGATGACCAAAGATGATGCAAGTTTCTTAGTAATAAATATTTTGAATATGTAGTGATAAAGTGCTTAAAATAATGGATGCCACAATTTCCTACCACAATATACAATACCTTATAAAGCAGTGGTAGACAGCTTGCTTGCAAACATTTTCCTAGCTGTGCCCTTGTCTTGTTGATGTTACAAGGACACATTTTATGACAGTTTGAGATATGATCAGTTCTACTGAAAGGGCCTTTTAATCGAAACAAAACGCAGTGGAGAGATAGCTGGCATTCCGATGGTTGGAAGTTGGCAACAGACTTTGAAACATACAGCGCAGAAAACGTTGGCTGATGGTGCTACTGCATGATGAAGCAGATAAGGGGTATATGGGATTATCCTTAAACTATTATACAATTTTTAAGTGATTTTTCTAAATACCATCAAGATTGCACACTGCCCTCCTTTACTTTGACTCCTCCATATCTTTTGAGCTATTTTTCTTTAAAAATTAAAGAACTACTTTAGCAACTCACTATATTCTTGAATTTAAAAGGTACTGAAGTCAACTTATAAGGCTCTACATGGTTTTAGGCTTTTTCTAATAAAGAGAGTGTCTCTGTTCCTGCTGCAAGTGATGCGACATATGCCCCTGGGATAGATGTTTTCAAGTCAGCTCTGAGACAAATTTTTGTCCTGAATTTCAAAAGCTCTGCTTTCTTGAGCTTCAGGGCAGACTGTAAGGTGTATATTCTTTACATAGGCTAATGAAGGGTGTGGGCTTTATGAAGCTAAATCTTATATGGGGGAGGGAAGATTATTTTCTCTGGAATAAGGTGACCTATGCTCAGATTTACTGTCTTCATGCTGGACAGATACAACTGCAACAGATGAAGAAAACACTTTGCTGGATGGAGGGGTTTTCGTAGGATTTGCTTCCCAATTACATGTAACAGTTTATGACAAAGGCTATTATTTCCTGCATCTCAGCTGAATTCATCATCTTAATTCTGCAGATTACTTACAGTTAGATAGTGGGTGACCATACAGATATGTTGGTTTGTGAAGTCAAAACTCATGTTTAAATTAAAAAAATGGGGTGAAATCGTCATAATGATCATCTTATCATCCATATCATACCAAACTGCTTATGGCAAAAGGGTTTTGCTTCCATATGCAGCATGGAAAGGATTTCAATCTCTTCTCTATATACATATAATCTATAGTTATTTTGCAATTATAGGTAACTGCTTAACAGAATACTTAAAGTCATCTTAGTAACCAAGCTGTCATATAGATGATACAACAGATACACTCTTTAGATCTAAAACTTAAGCAGAACCATCTGAGCTACAGGCTCCTAGGAATATACGTGACTTTTAAATTTGTGCTTACCACACTGTGTCTTTGCTAATTATCCCAGTGAGTTAGAACTCCCTAAATCCAGGCTGCCATTGAAGAGACAGCTTCATTTTAAATCTCCTTCTCGTTAGTTATATTTCTTTTATAATTGGTTGTCTTAAACAATTACCCCCAATGTTTACGCTTCCAATTTCACCTCTGGTTGAAATTGTCGATCAGGTCATACATTGGTATACAGCAAGGAGGCAACATGTTCTAATGTTCCTCTAACTACTACTGGGCTATATGAATTAAGTGATTTTTGCCTACAAAAAATTTAGCGTCTTACCATACTAGGTCTCCACATGGGCAGACTAGTAATTTAATGGGTGCCACTGGATCATAATATGCTTTATTTATCAGTGTCACATTGCATTACTTTAATGTATTTTACCGGCACTGGATAACAGCCAGCATACCCAAACCATTTGGTGTAAGAGATGTTTTTCAGTAATTAATGGCTGAGGTACACCTGCAATAAACTCATTTGTTTTGCTTTGTAAAAGAATCACTGTGATACAAAGGAAGATTCGTTGGCTTTTCTTCCTCTGGCATTGAGGTCACACGACATGACAAATTTACACGCACGTTGACATACTCTCCGCTGTGTACTGAAACCAGCCGACATCGGTATTGCTGTTTTGTAGCTTGCTTCATCATTTCTAACAGCCTGTTAGGCCTTGTGTGGGCAAAGCTATTAAAACCTAAATGCTAATGAGCTGCTGGAAAATTTATCACTTCAACAGTCTATAAATTGTGCGGGTCTAAATAACACGAGTCCAAAAGCTAGGCCATTTTGAAACAAAGAAGCTAAATGCTGTCACTTCCAAGAGCTGGTTTCAAACCTAGTCAGGAAATACACATGGAAACACTGCACATATTTACAAGACAGAGACATACAGTACTTATATACACACGTATCTATTTCAGCATATACTCAAAAGCAGATTTCTGCTTGTTCTGGGCCGTACTGCAAGGCAAGCCCAACCACCAGGTAGAGCTAGTGATGGAGTGCACAGGGTAAGAGTGATACAGGAGAGATGATACACAGTGAGTGCCAATGAGACAGGCCTACAACTACTTGCATGCAATGGCTGCTGTTAAACCAGGTGAGCAGAATCACAGGAGCAGTTCCAAGAAGTGGCGTGGACAAGAACCCTTCCAAGGATGGGATCCTCTAAGCAAAGTGAGCCCAGCACCCTTTTGCATCTCAGCAGAGGTTTCCAGTGTGAAAGACTTCTACTGTTAAAGAACTAATGCTTTGTAAAAAGGGTAAACATTCAGGTACACAGCATGGCACATAGCTTATGGCACTGCTCACACTCAGAGCACAACTGAAGACTTTTTCATGGTTTAGCTAAAATAAATTTGAAAGAAAAGCCTTTTTTCCCCAGATGTTTGATCTATATACAACCTAAAGCAGCCGAAGAGCCAAACGGTACTGCATCAGCATGAACAGAACATATTTGGAGTCTCCTGTACTTATTCTTTTTTAAAGATACTATGTAGCACAGGGGCGGGTAATTATTTCGGGTGGAGGACCGCTTACTGAGTTTTGGCAAGCCATTAAGGGCCACATGACAGGCAGCCAGGGGCAGATAAATATTATTTTCTAAATTTATTAGGGGCCCCACGGGCTGGATAGAATGACCTAGTGGGCTGCATCTTGCCCGCGGGCCACATTTTGCCCACCCTGATGTAGCATCAGTTATTTTATTCACCACACGCAACCCTCCACTCCGCCCAGTTTTGCCTTCACAATCTATGCTGGTGTGTGAAAGCACATTACTTATCTTCACTCAAAGAGGCTCAATGAGTGCATCTGCTCTATACGGAACTTTCTTCCAAATACTGACAGATGTTTTAAAATCTATGTAAGAAAATGTTGCTTCGCTTTCCCTGCACACTACCCTGTTAACCATAGAGGAGACAGAATTCTGACTACTGCAGTGTTGTCAATGCATACTGTCTCCAGACGCTCAAACTCAAGGGGGAAAAAAATCCATGCCAAAAACAAGTTTCTTTGAAGTTGTTTTTCTCAAAGAACAAATGAAGCACCCCTTTTCAAATGTGGAACAGGCAGATGGAAAGTGCAATTGAAGATGAGCAATCAAAGCCAGTAGGAAAAATATAAAATGAAAATGGGGAATTTTTTTGGGATGTTGTTTAATCAAAGATTTGGTGGGGGTATAAGATGACAAATTTTTTGCTCACATTTTTTCCAATCAACTGTACAATGAAATGTGTCAAGAGAGAGCGATTAGCAAGGATGTTGTAAACAAGGCAAAAAAAGGAGAACTGTGCAATGTGACAAACAGTTTTAACTCTACAGGAGATCTCCAGTCCTGAAAGCTTTCCTTCAAGCTCTTTCATGATTCTGGCAGAGTGGTCACCAGGCAGGTACTGGAGCTATCTAGCTTGAGGGAACACTAGAAGTAATACTTTCATTAAAAGCCTTGGTTGTCAGATCCATCCTGAAGGAATTCCATGGTTTAACATACTTTTTTGTACTTTTTTTTGCCTCTGCTGTGCTCTGAGTTTACCCATCTACAGCATCATTGCAAGTGGTAGAAGCAGCAGCATAGGGAGTCAGTGCAACTAAGGGTTAGCAAAGAAAGGTTCCCGCACATTTGCTCACTCCCTTTTGTCTCCCCAATGTTGTAAAAATTACCATTTCGGAGTCACTGTGACAGGCCTGCCCAAGTCTGGCTGTAGGCCCTGGCTCAGGGTGAGGAGGTTGGTCAGAGGAGAGAAGGAACTCAAAATTGTCATCGTAATCATCTTCCTCCGTATCCCCCTCCCCATCTGCAAAAGTACCTCTAGTCAAGAAATCGGAGCGCGTCCGCGCCATGCGGGCTTTCTTTTTATGGGCCGGTCGGGCAACCTGCTTGACCAAATGATAAAACAGATAACGTAAAAATGTTTTAAATGAAAAGGCGATTCTGTTGGTGTTTGGCATCATAGCGTAGGTCAAATATGGCCTTGGGAAATTCATAAGCAACACTCTACTGCACGCAGAACGCACAAATCTCTCAGGTAGTACAGGGGATCAGGACAAAACAAAAAAAAAAAAAGACAGAACAGGGAAAACGGACAGGGATGGATGTTACTACAACATATGTAACAAGACAGGACGGCATTCTACAGTGTTTGCCATCAGAGATGCCCCTGGGTCAAAA